TATCTTCACCGGGCAAATAGACCCTAACGCGCCATCCGGCGCCGGAGAATACTACCAACCAAGTGCCTGGTTTCTTCCATTCAACCTCGATCCGGTCGGTGTCGGAGCGGGGGTCAACCTCGACCCAGCAGCACAGCCAGGAGGGCCGACTAGCAATCCTGTTGGCGGACCAGACCTCTCTGGCTTCGGGGGTGCTGGCGCTATGCCCATGGATGCCTACGACTTGGGACTGGGGGCCAACCGCGGCTCGCATGCCTGATCATCTGGCATGTTTTTGTGGCATTTATCTTTCTGTGACTTGTGCAGTGGGAACCTTAACATCTTTACTTTCATCTTCGTACTTTGGCGACTGATTATCTCTTTGGTTGAACGGGCGGGGTTGTCTATTCGGGAGGGAAAGAATCGGAGTTAAAAAGAGCTATGAGTTAAGGATCTGGTCGCATTGTGAAAATGATGCTTTTATGCCCCGTCACTCTGGATGTATTATGTGGGTGCTATATACCAGGAATATATATACTCGCGATCTGATTAGACTGGTGTGTCCTTGGTTGAGGATTAATCCGATAGCATTGAGGTTGGGTCATGATCCTAGAGAAACCGACACTATTGGCGTTGGATGTGTTACAAGTGCTTCCAGGGATCTTTTTCTATGTTGTGTTTAGAGTCAAAGAGTCAAAATAAATCACTGACACAATTTCGGTCCCCAGCATACTCAAGAATCAGGTTATTCGTACAGTACATAGTTCCCTACGGGGATTAATCCTACCTAGTATTAACCAGGCTTCTCTTACTTGATTCCTTCTGCGCGGCCGGACTTCACTCTGCCCCGGTCTCCAGCATCCTAATGACACTAATACTTCCTTGGAATGACGTCTGGCAGCGAATATTCCGCTCGTGTGATGCGATATACATCATGCGTTATTCCGTTGAGCTGTAGGCTATTAGAAGTATGGTGGCTATGCTTATAAAATCATATCATAACTCTGGTATACTTCACTAGTGGTGAACATGACGGACGAGCACATAAACCATCAAATACATGAAAACAATCATATCAGTACAATCGCCAGATCACAGCACAGGGTACCAAGATTTTCGTGTCACGCTCTAAATCAACCCGAACAAAAGCCAATACATGTATCTCCTCGACACACGGCGATGCGGTGCGATGCTATGAAAAGCAAAAGTCATACAACCGATGCATTTGCCAGCTATTCATCAGTCGTCCCATTCTTCATCCAGCTGATCTATCAGTCTGTTTTCCGCGTCTAAGTCACCGCGTCGCCCGTAGCTGGAAGCGCGCGTGTGCCCAAGGCTCGGGGAGCGGTTGAACCGGAAGAGCCGGCCGACGGAGGAGAGTAGAATGACGAACATGTCCTATAGTTCGGAAAAAAGGGACGAATCAGCATTGATTCCACGTTGTTTGATATTCGAACCAAAAGCGAAACGAGAAGAGATAAAGACATGTCGCTGTGATTCAGTACAAAATGTTCAATAACGTGGTATAGAAACTGGCTAGATATCGAACAGCATCATAGGAAATCCAGCTTGCTCCATGATGGCCCGCGGCGGGCAGCCAGCACCATAGCTCCAGGATGTTTATTCATGTCCAGCACAGTATGATATATAAGCTAGGGGAAGGGGTCAAGAAAATTCATAGGAGAGCTCCCAACACCCCGCGATTCAAGCTCTAGACCAGCCAAAGCGAGAAGATCAATCCAGTCGCGAGGTCGGAAGCCTTGTATTCCCCGATTCTTTGTACGACAGGTCTCGGTGCAGAAACCGAGAACGACGGAACGGTATCAACGCTAGTATGCTTACTTTGACAAAGTCGACTATACCAGCCCAGAGGCTGTAGTTCGGGCACTGCCTCCAGCCGCGCTGGTGCATGACGGTTCGCTGATAAGCGCAGCCACCTACAAGATAGGCTGCAATAGCAATCAAGGCACTATGAACTGTCAGCAACATGAAAATCCAAGTGAAAGACAACTGCATACATGATGCCGAAGACCCCACCGGGCGAAAGCCCCTGGTTTGGAGGTATCGGAGCGGTAGCTCCGCAAGCGGCTGAGCTGCGCACTTCAAAGAAGTACGTGCACTGGTCCATTGTACCGACAAACGAGACGGTTGCCTGGGACGAAGGCGAGTCTCGTTCGCAAAGGAATGACATGATGGTGGACTTGGTGTGGGTGCTGCCGTTGCCCAGGTAGTCGCCCGGACATGGGGAGCCATCCGTGTAGTTCATGACCAGTTTGCGCCCCCGGAAGAAGGGATCGGATGCCTGTTGCCTACACGCTGTCAGTTGAGGTCCCAGGAGATCCCACAGGAATAACCTACCCAATTGAGTATACCTTGCCTTCCTTCTCGTAGTATGCGCTGACGTTCTTCCACCGGGCGCTATCGACTCCCACCACGTCTTTCACATCTTCCAGCACAGGCGCGCAGATGTTGACTGTGAAGTTGGCACCGTAGTCATGACCTTTGGCGTGCCAGCTGCCTTCCCGAGCGTTCTTGCGCGGCTTTTCGCCCTCCGCAGGCGGAGGCGAGATGGAAATCGCATTGAGATCGTAGAATAAGCCCGTGGTGGGAGAACGGACCACACAGGGTGAGAGGGAGTCCTTGGAACCCGAGGGATCGGAGGCTGCGTATACAGGAAGTAGAGGAGCTGCGACACAGAAGAGGAGCTTGAGCAGGGAAGAAGATAGGGGCTTCATCGTGGGCGAATGTGTGTCCCTTACGGAGGCAGCCGGGAGTTTCGGCGATAACAGCTCTCAGTCCGATGAGAGGAGATAACAAATAGAAGACAATCCTGTTGTCTGGAGGGAAAGAGAGAGTGACGTTGGTCGGAGGTAGAGAATAATGGAGGTACCAAAGAAAAGAGGACAAGGTAAAAGAGAGACAAACACGGCCACCAGAGGATGGATGGATGCGTAGGAAAGAGCCGCGGCGCTGTCGTCGTCGGTCGTCGTAATGTGCGGAGATGAAACGTCGCATTGATTGATGGCAGGTGCGGAGACCGGTCGGAGTCAGTCCCGACCGGGTGTGGCTGACTCAGCTCCTGGATAAGCTTTCCTTTCCTTTTCTTTGGTTCACCGCCCGGCTGAGCTCTATCCGGCTCGGACCAGCAGCTCGCAAAATGGATGCCTGCTGCCAGAGCTAACTAATATTTATAATTGCTTAGCGTCCATTGATCAAATAGTTCGGCCATCAATCCCCCAGTCTGCCTCAAGATGGCGCCAAAAAAGACCTCGAAATCCAAAGTTCCCATTCAACCTGTGCCCGAGAAGCGCGGGTATGAGTTCTGTGGCCCGTATGTGATATCATTCCTCCCCTTGAAAGACTACGCTAACTCACTGCATAGGCCCGGTGCCTTTGGAATCGTGTTCGGCCTTCCTCTCCTAGTATACACCTTCGCATTCCTGTGTAACGATGTCTCCGGCTGCCCTGCACCGTCTCTACTCCACCCGTCGACCCTCACTCTCGAACAATTGAAGGAGGAAGTGGGCTGGCCCAAGGGGGGCTTGGCGGACCTCTATAGCACGGAGGTGACCCTGTGGGTGCTCAGCTACTACTTGCTTAGTCTGGTGCTCTACGTGTTTCTCCCAGGCCAGGAAGCTGCAGGTACCGAATTGGCTTGTGGAGGTCGACTGCGGTACAAGTTCAATGGTAAGCTACCCCTGCATTTGTGTGTGTGTGTGTGTGTGTGTGTGTGTGTGTGTAGAGCAGCTCTGACTCTGGAACAGCATTCCCGACGGCGGTGCTGATCCTCTCTGGCCTTGCCACATGCACCTACATCTACGGCTCGGACTTCGTCGTCTGGACTTTCCTCTGGGATAACTACGTGCAGGTCCTCACCGCGAACCTACTGATCTCGACGGCGATCGCTGTCTTCGTCTACGCGAAGAGCTTCACGGTCCTGGCCCCTGGCCAACCCAACCCCGAGCTGCGTCAACTAGCCCCTGGTGGCCACACTGGCAATGTCTTGTATGACTTCTTCATCGGCCGAGAGCTCAACCCTCGCGTGCGGCTGCCCATCCCCTTCGTTAGCGAGGCCTCCCGTACCATTGACATCAAGTCCTGGTGTGAGATGCGTCCGGGTCTCCTGGGGTGGATCATCCTGAACCTGTCCAACATCGCTCGCCAGCACCGCACCTACGGCTACGTCACCGATTCGATCATCCTGTCCACCTTCTTTCAGGCATTCTACGTGCTGGACGGCCTGTACATGGAGCCCGCGCTCTTGACCACGATGGACATCATCATGGACGGCTTCGGTTTCATGCTCTCTTTCGGCGATATGGTCTGGGTCCCATTCATCTACAACTTCCAGACCCGGTATCTGGCGGTCTTCCCGCTGGAGCTGGGACTCAAGGGTATCGTCGCAGTGCTGGCCGTCACCGCGGCGGGTTACTCGATCTTCCGGGGAGCCAACAACCAGAAGAACCGGTTCCGCACCGACCCCAACGACCCGCGCGTCAAGCACCTCAAGTTCATCCAGACCGCCAGCGGTTCGAAGCTGCTCACCTCCGGCTGGTGGGGCTGCGCACGTCACATCAACTACCTCGGTGACTGGCTCATGTCGTGGTCATATTGTCTACCCACCGGTATCGCGGGATATGTGGTCATCCAGGGCGTCAACCCAGCCACGGGCGACCTGCAGAAGCAGGTGGTGCAGACCCCCGCGGTCCGTGGCTGGGGCATGGTGTTCACCTATTTCTTCATGCTCTACTTTGGCGTCCTGTTGATCCACCGCGAGCGTCGCGACGAGGAGAAGTGCAAGAAGAAGTACGGTGCGGATTGGGACCGATACACTTCCTTGGTGCGCAGTCGCATCGTCCCGGGGATCTATTGATCCGAAGAGAGGTCAAGGATTCGTGATTTGGCGTGCGAGTGTAAGATGAAAAAGGCTTTGCTGCTTTGAATTGGGTTTTCCTTTCCGTGGCCTGTACACTTTTATGGACTTTTGTAATAGAAAAAAACTTACTCCATATATAATTAATTCACCGTTTGCGCTTCTTCGGATTCGCGTCCACCAACACATCCAATCCCCAATCTCCATCCCCAGCATTCGGCACCCACGGGACAAGGACGGTTTTCGCTTCTCGCAGAGCCCGTGCCCGCGCCTGACCGGGTCTCGTGGAGGTGACAATCGCTCTCTTGAAGTCGACATACGTAGCTGCCTCGACGATCTGCCGTAACCTCTCATCGTCAAGCCGAGACAGCCCACCCTCGTGCTTCACACGGCCATCTTGCCGGTCCTGATTTTTCTGAAGATCCAGAACAATCTCCCGGAAGGTCCCCCACATCCGCGCGCGCGACAGCGCTGACGCTCCCCGCACCACCGGCGCCGACGCCTTACTCCCCTGCTTCACCCCGCCGATGATGCTCTCATACAGTCCCGTCCGACTCCCCGCCAGCCTGGGCAGCTGCTTGGCTCCGCTCACGGGCCCCAGCACGACCAGCTGATCGGCCCCAACGGAGGGCGCGGCCACCCACACCGCCGAGATGGTCCCGGGCTTGTATTTTGTGGTGCTTGTGGAAGCGGTCTGCGGCGAGTCCCGGGGCTTGCCGTACTGCCATAGGGAGTCGGCCACTGCAGAGGGGATGGGGAGGATCTCGAAGGGGTGGAATCGGTAGCCGGAAGCATCCCCCTCCTCCTCCTCCTCCTCCTTCTCGTCTTCTTGTATCTCCAGCCCCCGCTGCTCTTCTTCCCCTGCTTCCTGACCTCCAGATGAGGAAGACAAAGAGGGCGAGAGATACCTCCCGACCAGCCCCTTCATCCTCCCCTCCCTTCCAAACGCCCTCTCACACCCGACTCCACTGATCTCCGTTTCGGGCAACATCACCCCGGCCAGATACGCACTGGCCGTCACGCGGACTAACAGTGCTGTCTCCGGGGACAGCAAGGACGAGACCTGGCGGAGAGCGAGCTTGTCGGAGCAGGATTTGCTTTTGGTGGAGTCGGCGTCGGCGCGGGCGGGTTTGCGGCGGACGATGCCGAGTTTCGAGAAGTGGCCGCGGCCGTCGAGGAGGTTTGCAGGGGGTGGTTTGGTCGGTGCTGATGAGGAGGGGTCTGTTGTTGTTGGTGATGTTGCAACTGTAGTAGATGTGCTAGGGTTGAGTGTCGAAGATAGGGCAGCGGTTGGTGGTTTTGATGTTGTTGTTGTGTGTGTAGGGTTGGGTTCCTCTGGAGCTGGTGGATTTGATAATGATACTGGTTCGGATGGAGATGGATCCTCCACCCATGGCGTGGGATCCTCCTGCGCCGCCATGGTGAGCTCCATGCTTGCATCGCCGCAGGGCGCGCAGGTGCAGCACATGTAGACTTTGAGGTCCGGGTGGAGCTCGAAGGGGGGCTGATCGGGGTGCTGTTGCTGCTGGGGGGATCGACGACGAATGAACCGAGATGGCGATGGCGATGAGCTTTGGGTGGTAGCAGCAACGTCCTCACCCAACAGCAACCCCCTCACCTCCGACAAGACCCAGTAGTTAAAAGCCCGGAGGGCGAGCACCTCGGCGTGCCAGTCATGGAGAACGAGGCCCTTGCAGTTTGGAAGCTGGGAGGCAGCGAGACATTTGGCGCCAGATCTGTTGTCATCAGTATGGGTGTTTCTGCAGATGTACAGTACTGTAGTAGATAAGAGAGAAGGGAAAACACACGTAACAGCAACACAAGTCAATTCTTCCTCCGTCGTATTCTCGCCTGATAATGTTGTAAGCACTATCAAATTTCCAAGTTGATATACAAGGGAAAAGGCGTCGAAAACATACCCCTCACAACGACCATCCCCGCCATCGGAATCCACTCTCTGGTGCCATCATCGCGAACAATCGGTTTACTGCGGGCGGGCAGCGCATCGAAATGCGTATGCACTAGGCGCGCGATGCGAGATGAGAGTCCCTCTTGCGGATTCTCTTCGCCCATGGCATATATATGCTGTTAAAAGAAATTCAATTGTAATTCCGAAAAAAAAAAAAAAAAATTACCCCAAAGCCCAAATACCCAACTGGACCACAGAACTAGTACGTAGTGAGGAGAATAGTAAATTCTACAAATTCCCCCCCGATAAAGTCATCCGCTAAACTTATCGATAAATCCCATCCCCACATCACGTGGCATCCTGCATCCACCGGCCGCCGGCCGCATTTTCAAACCAGCACACCCAAAAGCTCCGCGGCGAAACATCAACCTTTACCTATCAACCAGAACAGAAGCAAGCCCACCACCAATCCCTCTTCCAGAGTTAACACCCTTGCCACGATCCCTCCCCCAGAACCTAAACAACAATGGCCGACAAACTCCGCACCCTTCAGAACCTCGAGGCGATGCAGGCCCGCTACATCGGCACGGGCCACGCCGACACGACCAAGTACGAGTGGCTGTCCAACATCGTGCGCGACAGCTACGCCTCGTACATCGGCCACCCGCCCATGCTGTCGTACATGGCCGTGGGGATGGGCGAGTCCAAGGAGAAGGTGCGGGCGACGATGATCGAGAAGATGGTGCGCGGGGCGGGGAATCCGCCGGAGGTGAGTGTTGCACTTCCTTTATGGGGATGGAGTGGGCATGGATTGGGTCTGAAGTGGATGTGGTATGCTGACTTATCGGGTCTAGACACAGGAATGAGGATGGATGGGTTGAGTGGTCTAGTTTGGAGTCAGAAGTGGTGCTGATCGGGGGTTGAATGGGTTGCCTGGTTGGCTCAGTGTCTGGAAGGATAGGGTTTCGGATGGACGATGCTGGATGACACAGATTAGAATCTGTGGTCTGGTTATTCGTGGAGCTCTGGATGTATACCTGAGGAACAAGACAAGAAAGGACATCAGGTCATCGATGAGAGGCAAGGAGTTTATGGATACGGCGTTTTGGGGGGGGGGCGTCTGCCTTTCAGCTCATGTTGAGTTTCAGTACAGCGAGATTTTCTCAATACTCGATAAAGCTTTACAATAATCATCACATTGTATCACAACCATTCAGATCCCATGTGCTTGCACTGTACTCCGAAATGTATCTCACTCATCAAAAACCAACATAATGTACAAGGCCGACCTAGGTAGTAGCCAAACCCATCTGAACCAGCCACTGCATTCATCTCTACGATTCATCTACCACTGCGATTACTTCTTCTCCTCATTCAATCTCGTCGTCGAAGTAGCAGCAGCAGCAGCATTGGCAGCGCCTGGATCCTGCTGCGCCGCCAACCTCGTATTCTCCGCCTGCAGCGACCCGATCAGATCCAACCACTGCTTGCGCTCCGACCGCAGCCGATCGACCTCTTTCTTCAGCAGCTCGACCTCTCGCCGGAGCCCATCCGCCTCGCCACGGGCGCGCGACTTCTCTTGCTTCTCGGCGTGCTTCTGTTGCCGCGCCTCGATCTTCGACGCCTCTTTCACCTGGTCCTTTTCGATCTTGCCCAGCTGTTTCAGCAGCTTCGACTCCTCATTGAACAGCCCGGACGCCACCTTGTGCGCACGCGCGGCCTGATGACGGTGGTGGTGGTGCTGGTGGTGCTGGTGATTGTTGCCATCGCTGGACGCCACCCCCCGGTGCACGCTGCTGCCCGGACTGCTACTGAGTTGTTCGCTGCCTACGTCGCCGGCCGCGGCCAGCGCCGCTGCAGATGCTTTGTCTCGCTTATTGCTGTTGCTGCTGCCGCCGCCGTCAGCCGTGACTGTTTGTGGCGGGGAAGCTGGGGTGGTTTCGACATGCAGGGCCTGGATCTCCGAGCGAACGCGGTCCAACTGCGCCTCGACGTTGCGTTTACGCTCCGCCAGCTTGGCCAGTTGCTTCTCGTGGGATGAGAGTTTCCCCTTCTTGTTGAGGGTCATCTGTTCGATGGCGGAGACATCCGGAGGAGCTTCGACGGCGGAGTCGAATGCCGAATTGGCGGAGAAGGCGACAGAGGCTTTCCCTTGCGAGGCTGCATCGTTGAACTCTGGCTCGGTGGCTTTCGCAGTAGTAGTTGTTGTTGTTGTGGGTGTTGGCTCGGTCTGCGGTTCTTCCTTGTCGTCTGTCGGATAGCCATTCTCCTGGGCAGTGCTGACTGTCGACGACTGTCGCGAATGACCGTGGGGGAGATAGTCGAGGACGGCCTGCGGAGCATACCGCTCCAGACCCGCATTGACCAAATATGCGAAACTGGCAATGAGGCCATGATGCTCAACTTCAGTGTCCGAATAGTAGTCCGAATCACTGGAATCCTCAGACACGCTATCCTCGTCGTCTTCCACCGACGCCTCAGCGCCAGGTTCATTATGCTGATGATCTGCAGTTTCCAACTTGCGATGCGCGTGCTTTTTATGGCCTTCATCTCGACACGCCCAGTTCAAGAACTTAATAGCATCCTGACAGATACTCTTTGGGGTGCCCTTTTCCACCATCCATCGAGGGATATTGCCTCCGGGGTCACTTCTCGTGACCATCACCCACTCCACGGGATTCACTTTCCTCTGCACTTCCTGCACCTCTTGCCCATCCACTTCCTTCCGAGCCCCACCACCAGCACCCTCCCCCTCCTCCTCATCGTACACCGGAATCTCCCTAATAAACTCGACACTTTCATACTGCCCCCGAATATAATTCTGCGTCGGCGGCACATCAGGATGTTCGCACGGCCTCGAAACCATCATCCACCTCCTCGCCTCTTTTCCCTTGCCACCGGCCTCCCCCTCCTTCTGCTCCCCCGCCGCAAACCCCTCCGCCACAACTTCCCAACTCACAATCAAACTAACAAAATCCCGCGCCGTCGTCGGCTTCGGAAACATGGCCGAGACATGGTACACCTGGACGCGGCCCACAACCCTGGCGCCATCCTCACTCTTCACCTCGATATCCTCCACCAGCCGCTCGGCCCCGATGCCGCGCACGGCCTGGTCCGGCGGCCGCCCCTTCTGGATCTGCTGCTGGTTCATGCGCAGCGTGTGACCCATCTCGCCGGACAGTTTGGTGTGCCACTTCGTGAAGGGCAGCCCGGCGAACACGCTGCGGCGGCCGAACCAGTGGCCCTTGCCGTCCGCGCCGGGGAGCTTGTAGACCGGGATGTGGAGGGGGTTCTCCTTGGCGGAGGAGATCTTGATGGGCTTGCTCCATTCCTTGTGGTGGGGGTTGTTCGAGATGGAAGGGGGCGGGGGCGGTAGTATTGGTGGTGGTGGTGGTGGTGGTGGTGGTTGGGGGTCTGACGATGATGATGACGATGGGGGAGTGGTTGTGGTAGTAGACGTCGGGGAGGTGAGGAGGTGGGAGGCGCGTGCGTTGGAGGGGTGGATGATGGCTGCGGCGGGGGGTAAGTGGCTGGTGTTGTTGTTCGTGTGGGATGCGGAGGATGGACTCTCTTCTTTATCGACCGGCGGCTCGGGCACGGATTCGATGATCAATCGCGCTTTCGTAGCGAGGTCGTTGAGGTAGGCGCGCAGAGCGTCCGGGTCGTTGCTGGGGATCGAGTCCCAGGTGGTCGGCGAGAGGCAGTTGAGGGCCTCTTGCAGGTCGGCCATTTTCTCCTCTTGCTCTCTTTGTTCTGAACCTGCCTTATGAGTGTGGTGATAGCAGTGTATATGTCATTTATTGAGCTGGGATGGTATCTCTTGGAAGTAAGTCTTGTAACAACGCGAATGATGATTGACTGTTAGGCAACTGGAGGTGGAAGATAGTTTCGATTGCAGTTGAGTGAGGAGAGAAGAGTTCTAGCCAGGGGGTGGGAAGCAGGAAGGGAAAATTGCGGGGAAATTACTTCATGCACGAACCGTCGTTCATAGGGAAACAGATTCTTTGATGATGATAATGATGATGACGATGAAATGTAAATGTAAGCCAGCCCGTCCCGCGATGATGAAGGTGGTTGTCCGCCCTGCTGGGCTGGGCTGGCCGTGACCCTGACGTCATCCCGAGGCCCGGACTCTTTTGTTTAGCGCCCGCGGAGATCCCGCACGGCGGAACAAATACGTACGTCGTAGCCTGATAAGTCAAGTGTTGAGATTACGCATGGCCTTTCCCCATGGAATGTCTTTCGACTTCATTTTTGGATTATATCAGACTTAGGTACATCTTGCCAATCACATACGGAACAGCAGAAAGAACAAGAATAGGAAGGGGAAGAAAAGAATAACGCACAACGACGTGGGCGCAGCCCTGCCAGCATCCGATTCCCGCCCGCTCTCCCCACGCCTCCTCCAGGGAGGGCTGGTCAAACGGACAGGCGCATCCAGGTAGTCCCGAAAACAAACAAAAGAGATAAAACCCAGCCTGGATGATAGGAGATGAACCTACCAGAACAACACGAGGGGCCGGAGGAAGGGCAAACCCGCCTTCGAGGCCATTGTATCACTCGCAGATCAGGGGCAACGCACAGAGGTCACAGACCCCCACTCAAAGTGCGTTGGCTCAACTGGTGGTGTGTGTGGCTGCCACAGGCTGACCCCCCAACCAAACCTGATCGAACAAGATCAACAACAGTCCCGACGCGAGTCAGCACAAACTCAGAGCCTCGCCTTGGTCATAAAAGTCTGCCGTCATAGATGCATCACAGATGCTTTCTGCTGATCAGCAGCGCCGCTGCGTATCTCAGCTAGCTAGTCCCGTTGGATACCTGTATCCCCAGACTAAACTGACCGCAAAGATGCTGCCTGGTGGCCAAGTACAGAGGCAATGCACAGCATTGTCTGCCTCAATCACCCGGACCAACAGCGGCAACGAAACGAAAACGATGGTGAACATTTCCTCATCCAAATCATATCCCGTGCCGTGAGGCTAACCAGGTCTTCATGACGTATAGTGAAAAGCAATCACAATTGTAGCCGACCCGCCGCTTCTTGATGCTGTAGAACAAAAGTAATCACGCTAGCGCTGTTTGAATCAATAGAGAAGAAAATAAAACACAAAAACCGTAAACGAAGAGAGGTGATCTCAGCAGTCATGCAAAATATAGACGATATGGAGTATCATGTATGTCGCAAAGTCAATCAAGGAGAACGCCGTCATTGATGCCAATTAGTCGGATATCTGTCGTGGGGAAGCTTTGGCCCTGGTCGGTCATGAACTGGTGCAGGAGGGATCGGGCCGGGCGGCATAGGCGAGCTGTAGTATTCGTGATGTCGGTTCGAACCCTGGGATCTGTTTCCAAAAGACACGCCAAGTCAGGGAGACCGTTAACATCAAGTGTCTGGTTCCATGGACGCGTTTACATTATTGTCCCGTAGGGAAGCGAAAGCGATGAGAAATCCTGGTATCGATCCCCCCACCCAAACCCTGACATGTTTGCTGCCGTGCTGCAGAGCATGCTCGGCAATGGGAGAGCTGCAAGAGCTGCCGAGGTCGCCGCCACACCGTAGTACTGCGCCGCGCTGTACGGCGGGGCCGTCGTGTACGGTGGACTGAAGGTCGACGCCGGTGGGGAGGTTAGCTGCGCATCCTCCATGCCGCTCATGTGAGTCCAGAGACCTGGATTCACATCCCCAGTCGTGGTCGTGGCTGGACTGGACGGCAGGATCTTCCAGGGGTCCATCGGAAGGGGCTGATGCATCGAATCCTGCCACCAGGGTCCGGGACCCGTTGAGCTGGGCAGGTAAGGCACCGAGCGGAGCACATCGACAACCCGCGGGGGCGGTGGCTGCAAGGGGACGAACAAGTTGGAGATGGCCATTTTGGCTTCCTCACTGCGGCCGGCCAGAAGTTCACCCGCCCCATCT